CATTTCTACGAATAATCGTTTTTCCTCATACAAAATGCATGGGAAATTTTGAGCGGTTTGAGCGACTTCTAAATATTGATTTAAAAAGGGTAATTTTTTTGATATAGAAAAATCCTAGGGGGTGAGGGAGCCTTAAAATTTCGACGTCACTATCTTGGGGCCACCCTAATGTACATACATACATATGCAAAGTTATATTTACATATATATATAATGAAGTCTTTAATTAAATTTTAAACAGTCCAGGTTCTGGTCCATGTATTTATTTCATTTTGGGTATCAGTTGGGATAACCGTGTCATTACGACAATGCATACTCTATCAAAAGTTTCCATTAAAATTTTTTGATTAAAGATTTTGGGGCGCGCGATAAAATTAGCTATTTGCAAATAATAAAGTGCTTTGTGGGAAAAAAGTATCTATTAATAGTAATCATCTCGTAAAAATAGAATAAAAAAGTATCAACATTTTTACAACTAAGTTCCCGATACTTGTAAAGGTAGCCGATGGCGAATTACGCAATACCCAAAATTGCCCGATTTTTCGTACCATCCAGTCTAATCTAAAAACATATCATAAAAACATATCGAATCGAACGATTATGTTAAGCGGTGTCACTTGAAGTACTGAGATGTTGATGTTGAGATGTTTGCTTGCGAGGACGAAAAATAATCATTAATATTTGTCTACATAGCAAAGACATGATTTACATACATATCATAAAATACTACTTATACGTATTTCAGCCCCGTCAGCTCTTTGCTTTTATTTTATGTTGGTTAATGCCGCATGGCCAAGTTTTAGATTTCCTCGCTTTCTTATTTCCCTTAAATATGATTGATGAGAACGTGAAATAGTCCCTCAAATTGCTTCCACAAATCACTAAATTGGTATTTTCAAATTTATTTTGGTTTTTTAAGTAAGTTGTTAGAAATTTGATCGTGTAACCCTACAATACTAACCATAAAAACATACATTTTTAAAACCGCCTGATTCCGCTACTGTAACCAGCGACCACAGGTTTCAGGTAAACTAACCTCCGAATTCTGTGCAATTGATAAATTGTCAAGCTTGAATATTTGTCTAAAGAGCTACGACTAAAATTATGTTGCAAACATTTAATTTTAGGCGCTTTAAAAATGCACAACAAATGTAGTCAAATACAGGCAACTCTTAGCGGCATAGTTTTTGGCGCAAATTTTTGACAAATATTCAAGCTTGGAGGACGACCTTCATTGCAAAATAGCATTCCGCCAGTGCGTAGCATTACCAACTTACAGTGACTTAGAAATAAAATAGAATGTTACTCATATAGTAGTTTTAAGTCAATGACGATCAAGAAGCGCTTATAGCCGTTGAAGGACAGTTTTTTGCCGGCATGCGGAGCTTTTTTAATCTTTTTATACATTTTGCATGAGGGTTCTCCATTTTGCAAAAATCCTCAGTCGTTTCTGATATGGCGGTTAAAAAGCAGAACAAAAAAAAAAACAATTTGTTTTTGCCTATTAAATTAAGGGAATGATTTATTCATATGGAAATGGAGATAAGTCTGATTGGCTAAGGCTGTGGAATGACCATGTATATGCATGTACATACATACCAAAAGCATTATTGTTAAAAAGCGAATCGATCTCTTACATACAATCTATTTACCTCCCTAGAACTTCATTCGTACCTTCAATAGTTTGTATACATGTATGTATTTATGTATACAGACATGGAAAAGCTGATAATACCATTCGAATAGCCATAAAAAAAATTAAAACCAAGAAAGTAAAATAAAAATGGGCCCCTATAGTTTTTCTACTCTCATATAACCGCAGGTAAATTCTAAGTCCGATTTCACAAAACAAGAATATTTACATACATACATATATAAAATTTAAAAGTATAAAATTTCAAATCGGAGAAATTGAGAAATCTACTTCAAATAAATTATGCCAAAGCAAAATAAATTAAAGCTTTCAGGGTCTTTTGGCAATACACAATTTCCCGGGTATTTCCATTAATAGGATGTAAGTCCTATGAATTTATTTATGCAAAAAAATCGCCTAAACTTTTTTTTGTTGATATCACCTTAGATCTAGGTGTGCGATATCATAATTACGAGTAACGTCCGAACAAAACCTTCGAGAGCAAATACACCGCTATTAATTAAAATTCAAATTTCCACTACTTTGTTTTCATAACTACTGCTTTAAACTTTCCTTACACCATACAAGTTTTTTAACTTGGAAATTATTTCCGACAAAAAATTAAAAAAAGTACGAAGTAACGTTCGCAACGCTACGATTTGCAGATATATAATAAGTATAGCATATTAAAAAATTTCTATGATCAGGAGCATTACAATTTTTTTTCCGCTCTGCATATAAAAGGAAAAGTAAATGAAGGTATTATTTGGCTTCTACAGTTTGAATTTGTGCTATTAAATAATATTTATTTTTTACGAAACAAAATTTTTTCTCAGAAATTTACTAATCTACGCGGCGCATGTAAAATATTCTTGACAGAATATTGGTTCTTTAATAATTTTTGCACTCACATATATATAAACCACGATTCATTAATAAAAGGAAGGATAATTATTGACAGCCGCGGTTTGACACTCAATTACAAAAGGTTGCATATACGAAGGATGGAGAAAGGGGTGCGAAAATGTTAGTAGAAAAGTATGCAAAGTAGTCAATTAGTAGGGAATTTCCTTTTGTAAATTCTAATGTATTTGCAGGAAATTTGGCCTTTTAAACGAAATATTAAGATATCTACGAGAATTATGTAATTTATGTGGTAATTAGTGGTATAAAAACATATATGTAATATTTCTACATTGGCACTAAGCTAACTTCTCAATGTGTAAGCATTCCGAACAGAGTGTCCAGATTTGGCGATTTCGCGCCAATTTGGCGTTTTTTTTTAGATATTTGCGCGTAAAAATTTAGGATATCGCCATTGGCGATTTTTGACGATTTTTTCCCTTCAAATAAATTTTTTTCAATTATGAAAATATACAAAGCTAAGTTTTCCACGATTATTTACAGAAGAGGCTAATGAACTGCGTGGTTAACTTGACTTAAGAACTTGACTTAAGAAGCATATTAAAAGACTGTCAAAAATGTTTAATCACCCTATAATCGAAGAACTTTTGAAACGTTTACCTAGTCAATTAAATACTTTTAAAAAAGCTTTGATTTTGTCACCAGAAAAGTGTGTGAATCACAAGAGGGCGATTTTCAGGGACCTGTCAACTCATTATTTGACTTTGAAGAAGAAAAGCAGCGGAAACTGAATATTTAAATATTTTAAATTTCTCATGGAATAACTTTCTCAGAAGCATTCCATCCGACTCTGAAGAATTTTGGATAATTGCTTATGAGTGAAAACCACAACAGGCAATAAAATGTTTGGAAATATAAGTAAATTCATATTAAATATTATCCTTGCCGCACCGAAATGCTTTGTTGAGCGCGTTTTTTCCGGAATGAATTCAACAAAAACTAAGATTCGAAATAGGATGAGGTTGGAAAGCCTTAATTCAATAGTTCGAATAAAGTGTTATATGAAGGCTAATAGTTTCTGCTGCAAAACGTTTCCAATATCAAACAGTATGTTATCAAGGTTGAAAGCTCAATAAATGACAACAACAAATTGTGGAAATAGCTGAACTACCCTTACTATAGGTTTTTATTTTATTTTTAGCGCCGAGCTCTTGAAAGGGGATTGTGCGATTGATCCATTAATATGAGTTATAATAAATTTAATAATTGCGCAGTCCTATTGCAACATGTGTTGAAACAAATATTTTTAAAAAGTTTGCGTATTTTTAAAGAAATTGTTTGTACATCACTATTATATAAGTGATTTGTGTTATTTATTATTACCCTCTGAAGGTGTTATATTCGTCCCTTATTATGAGTTGCATTCGATTTTCGATCTTCGCTGGTTATCGAAGATCGAAAGAGAAATTCGTATTATGAGCTGTGCAACCGTGTCGAAATTTTCGTTGAGTATCGAAGTTTCTGTCGAACAGAATTTTGCTTTCGATGGTGTAGCGAAGTGTTAGAAAATTGTGAAAAATGTATGATGTTGCATTTGTTTTCTTACTTTTTGGCGGATAGACACTAATTTTAAACAATTTTTGTTAATTGTATGCAGTTCCAACGTCGTGAATACTAAACACAAGCTCGGAAGGGTTGGTTTTACTTGTGAAAGAAAATCTCAATACTCATTTGGCACGATCTCTGAGAACAAAATCATAGAGATGCTTATAGTTTCAATATATTTTAAATAGATTTGGATCACAAAATTTTTTAAATATATTGTATGTCAAAATATATCCGAAAGGCTATACTTAAACTCTCTTAAACGTTTTCTGCTCCTGGCCAGTTTTCTAAGCTCTCATTGTCTGAAGAATCGTTCAACCAGAACTCCGTTGTACTAATTTTTACCACGTTTTTATAAACTCGCTATCCTTTTAATATCATTTTAATTTGCACAAATTTACATAAATATGTATAAACACACTATTTAGTTTGCTCGATTTGTAAACAAAACTTTTCAGCGGCGAAAAATATACTATTGTGAACAACCTAAACGAGCGAAATTCACAATAGCGCTATTCTTCATCGAATGAGCGCCATAATACGAAATGAAAATTCGTTCGATCAGCACTTTCGACCACAGTCGAAAATCGAATGCAACTCATAATAGGGGCCTATATTATAACAAGATCTCAGTTTTAAAATAAAAGATTTGTTAAATCGATTTCATGAATTTTATTAAAAAAAATTGGCGATTTTTGGCGATTTTTTTTCAGAAATTGCGCCTTTTTTTTAAACAATCTGGACACCCTGATTCCGAAATCAAAGCGAGACACTCTAGTACCGTTTTTGTGAATGTGTTGTATACGTGAGTGCCATTTTTGTGGATGTCTTGTGTACATGTTTATTTATAAACGTATGTGTTCCTTTTTTTTCGTACGTGTTTATTGATATATCTTTACTGTAATGTTTTCGGACGGTACTAGCTCTTACTGCCATTATAGGAGTATTACATATATGTATAAAAACTGAAAAAAGGGCTTAGAACTAGAATGAAACTACTATGAATTGTATGTAAACATCGAATTTAAAAACAATTTAAGTTTTCATGAGTTAAATTTATGTTTTGATCAGTTAAATGTACAAAAACGTATGCTTCTATTTCACACGTAAGCTGCACTTTTTCAAGTAAATTTGCAAAGAAGACGATGCTACTGCTAAGGGAGTGGCGCGAGAGAGACAACTGTCAGTTTATCGAACCTTTAATTATTTAATCAGGCATATAAACATAGAACACTTATAAAAACTTGCAACGTTTTGTTATACATATTGCAATTTTTTCAAACCCAACAGTTTGAGCTTTTTGACCTTGGTAATCTTCCCTTTTCCCTGGTGCAAAATATGTTTGGTTAGGTTATTTTTATTTACATAGCTAAGCGAATGATATTCTAGTACAGTGCCGGCCAAACGTGCACATTGTAAGCACGATGTTATGCTTTCGCTTGTCACATGCTCACAGCCATGCCTAAATTGGATGTTAAGCGCCAAAGAATTGTTTGTATGAAGCATCCCACAATAACGGGGCGCTAATCCCGAGCAAATGGAATTTTAATTTTTAACTGGGCGTTAAGTCTGGACGTCCAGTCTTGAGGACAGAAAGATGAAAAAAAGATAAATTGGAAGCGATAATAAGAACGGGATGAAATGAGAAAACGTCAAAACTGCGCGAATACGTTACGCATTGTACGATTAAATTGTAACTATCGCGTCTGATGACTACCACAATGCGAAAGTAACATAGTTCTCGATCTTTATTACACAATCTATTGCAGAAGTTGAAAGTATCGATTCTCCTCCAGCAGCGAACTCAACGAGGTTGTCATGTCGTTTATGATCATGTTTGAGTTAGGATGTGTGGAGCTGCTAACGGCCTGCTGGGCGCTTTGCTCGTAGTCGCGGAGTTCGCTGCTACAGTTGCCAGTCGGTGAGTTGTTGGTCTCCAGCCAGTTTTGGCAATTCTGCACGTACTCGAGTGTCCGCTGATATGTATCGAAACGCATGCTACCGCCATCGCTGGGCACGTACATGCGTCCGATATTGGCGCTAACTTCAAGCAAGTTTGTGGTAGATGCCGCCGCAATTGCTGTTGTGGTTGGTGCGTTGCAGAAGAAATGTCTATTTGCCACTGCCGCTGGTGGTGGGGGTAACTGAATCGTCTGATTGGTTGCTACTGATTGCACACTCATGGTTGTGGTGGTTACTGTCGGTTGTGTGTCTTTTGTACTTTTGGCTGGTACTATTGTTGACTTTGTTGCGGAGGCTGGTTGGTGGTGCGCTTCCAATGCGGGCGACATTTGTGATTGACTTATATCGCCACATTGTATTTCAGCAGCAGCTAGCTTTTTCACTGGTCCACTCAATGTCGACGCAATTGGTTCTTGCAATTGCTGCTGTTGGTGTTGGTGCAAAGTTCGCGCTGTAGACAATGGAACTCGGTATAAGAGGTTGCTGTTCGTGGCCACAGAAAAAGAAACCGGTGTAGCAACTTGTTCGCTGCAGACTTTAATCATATTGTCTGCTTTGATATCGGGCAAACTGGTCATTGATGAATCGACACAAATGGCTGAGTTTGATTGTTGTTGTTGTTGCTGATGAAGATGCTGTTGTTGTTGTCGTCGTTGCTGTTGGTATGGCTGCTGATTGTGGTGTGGCTGTGTTGGACAGATTCCAACGCTCTCGGTACGGATATAATTTGTGGCCAGTGGATGGTGGTTACATGGCTGCTGTTGTTGATGTTGTTGGTGCTGGCATGCTACCTGGAACCTGCAGTCATAGTCCATATCCCGTACCTCGACTGATTGTGGCTGGGCGCGATAAAAATCGTAAGGGGAAGTTGCTGCTTGGGCGTTCAGGTTGGGACGGGAATGGGGGATGTCTATAGCCGGCATCGCGTATGCAGACTGTGGGGACATTATTTGGTCCAAAGTAGATGGGCTTGGTTCAACCATGTTAGGGCTATTAGGGTACATTATGGGCGAGGGTAGATGACATGTCGCGTTTTTCCCAGCACAACCTACGATTTGAGGTGTAGACGATTTGGAGTGGGCTTCATTGACAGTTGGAACATTGCCGACAGGTGCGCCCTTTGTTGGTTGTTTGGGTTCTAGGGGCTTTCCTTGTACCTTCTGTTGTTGTGGCGGTGGCTGCTGCTGCGTTGAAGACTCCTGATGCTGACTGACATTTGGTTTATCAGCTACTTGATTCAAATACATCAGCATTTCATCTGGTAATACCAGCTTGTTCTCTATTAGCTCGTCCTCTTCAACCTCATCCAAGTTGACCCTTTCATTTGGATGGTGCTCTCGGTATGCAGCCATAGACTCATCGCGACTGCGCGCAGAGCAGCTGTTGAGTTTCGCTTTGGCTTGGCAGTCTTCAATTCCTATGCCGTTGGGCGGGCAGCTGGTACTACCACGTATTTTGTATGGAACCGGCAACAGCGATGTTGGAGACGAAGGTGCATACCGATCGCATTCTGTGCGAACAGGCTCTGATTGACGACGCCTTGCGGGCCCTAGCAATGTCTTGTTTGATGTATACGAATCGATTCCATTCGAATTGGATTTTTGTTCCGGAGTATGTGGGAAAGGCATGTTTGGTATAGAGCTGCGACCGCGGTCCCGAAGAAGAGCTTTGTGTTGGTAGTTGGCGTATTGGAGGCGCTGTAAGTGTGACGATATCAGGTGTGATGATGGTGGGGGCGGCAAACTGTTGCTGTTTACGCTGCTTTCACTCATCTTTAACGTACCGCCGCGCGATGAGCTATCAGTGCCCGCTTCAACAGTACCCATATTGTTGAATACCAGCGGCTTTCTATAGCAGTTATCATTGAAACCGCAATTACCGTCGGCGTCGCCATTGGGGTTAGAATTGGCGTTAACATTGGCATTGAAGTTACCAGCGCTGCCTCCACCGCCGCCACCCAAGACGCCCGAGGTGACATTCGACAGTTGACTGGAACGACGTGAGCAACCAGGTGAAATGGGATCATAGAGAGAACCTGTATTATATGAAGGTCTCATAGTAGATATGGAAGACACCTGAGATGATTGGCTGCTGCGCCTACTCTGCATGCTGCAATAGTAGGTGCTGGCATTTGAATTTTGACTATCCCGTCTCATGATTTGTTGCTGGTGTAGACGCGTGTGCAACTCGGTGATATGATTGCTCGGTGGCGACATTTTGGATATGTATTCGGTGTTTGGAGGCGACATCGGAGAAGGGGTGGGTTCCATTTTCAAGTTGTTAATCCTTTGATTCAGTTCGCCGATACCGATTCCAACGTTTCTGCGTGCCTCAGGTATATTCGATAGCATTGCTGATCCCAAATTTATACCTTTCGCCTGCAGTCGGCCCCGCAGACGCTGGCGTGGCAAAGCACCGCCGAGCATGCCACTGGCGCCACCACCCCCACCAACTCCATGATTTTCGCCACCGCAACCGCTGTTGCCGGTGTTGGCGCTGCTACCAATGCTGACCATGGCGCGCAAAACGTACGGCAAGTCCGCCACTTCTAGGTCCTCATCGTATTCCCAGCCTTCATCCAGTGCTGCAGCATTACTTAATTGAAACTCATCAGGTCCGAAACCAGCGCTGGCATTTTCGGTGTCACGCATATTGCCAGCCAATTTTAACTGTGACGTTTGTAGTGCCAACTGGTGTCCATCAGTGACGTTTGGGCTATGCTCGGGCGAATTCGCATCTGATTCCGATTTGATGCTCGGGCTGGATATGCTATTAGCCTTGCCAGAATGCATGTCATCGCTGCGTGGGCTGGAGTCAATTTGAGGATGATTTTGAAGTTGTGAATGTATTGACGACTTCAATCCACTGGTGCCATGCACGCTGCCAATGCCGTGTCCGTCTATGCCGCCGTTGCCGTCCTCGTTCGAGGAACCTTTGTGCTTCTTGCTCGCATAAAAGTCGGCACCGTGCACCGTTTTCACATGCTTGCGCAGTGAACTAGGATCGGTGTAGCGCTTGGTGCAGCCTGGCGCCTTGCAGATGTACGGTTTCTGCAAAATAGAAGTTTTTTACGTTTTTTAAAAATGAGTGTTAGTGACATTATGTCAAGATAAATTCAAGGGAAAACTAATATGTTAGTGTGTACAGCATCGCTCCACCTACCTCATTACTGTGTGTCCGATTCTGGTGCTTGGCTCGATCGCTCGCATTACTGAAGGCTTTGCTGCAGCCGGGGTACTCGCAGGTGTACGGCTTCTCACCTGTGTGCGATCGCAGATGGGTTTTGAGGTTTTCAAGGCGGGAATAAGCCTTGCAGCATCCCTCGAACTAAGCATGAAATGAGAAAAGTAAAGTGTTATTGTATATTAGGACCAATCTAAATAACATCCAAAAGTGGGTGTGTGGTAGGAACCGAAGTAGTAACGAGCCTAAAAAAAGCTAACAACAGATAAGAACTAACAGGATGAATGTTCTGTTGTTGCTACAAAAACATAAAACATTCACAAGAAAGTCATAAGAAAATGGTGCTGAAGTGACTTCTTCTGGTAGTTAGGGATTTGGCAATATGAAGAAGTTCCTGCGTAGAAACTTCGGAAAAACTTAATTTTTTTACTTGGGAGATCTGAGTAACTACTTATAAAATCCTGGTACATAATTAGTCCGGAAACTTTGGTTAAGAGATAGCATGGATGTGAAATGGGGAAAAACCATATTTTTTTATATAATGCAGGATATACACTATTAACACTTTTCGACACTACAAGCTAAACATTGAAAAATACCCTGCGACGTTTTCAGTTCAAAATTTTTAAAATTTGCCCATGGGATCCCCTTACCGGTGGCGTTATAATGCATATCATGAAAGACTTATCTTATATCAAAATGCCAAATTAATAGTGTTACTAAATATATACATCTTCTTCTTCTTTTTTGGCGCTGTAACCGCCCAAGCGATTTTGGCCGAGTTCAGCAAAGCACGCCAGTCGTTTCTCCTCTGTGCCAACGGACGCCAATTGGAAACGCCAAGTGAAGCCAAGTCCTTCTCCACCTGATCTTTCCATCGCAGTGGAGGCCTCCCTCTTCCTCTGCTACCACCAGCGGGTTCCGAGTTGAATACTTTCAGAGCTGGAGCGTCGGTGTCCATTCGAACGACATGACCAAGCCAGCGGAGCCGCTGTATTTTAATTCGCTGCACTATGTCCATATCGTTGTAAAGCTCATACAGCTCATCGTTCCATCGTCTGCGGTACTCGCCGTCGCCAACGCGTAAAGG